TTAATCATTTTTGTAGATGAAAATGCTTGTTTGCATCTGTGTGTTGTTCCAAAACAACAGATGTAACTCTGAGCAAATTTTCTCAGATTTGGAAAATGTTCACAGAGCAACGATCACTAGAAATTAATTATATCAGAAGTATCTGGGAATGATTGAAGTTTATTAAACTTCATTTTCAATACAGAATTTTGAGATCAATAAATACCATTTGTATGTTACTAGGCATCGTCAAGATTTTTTGTTCAGTAAGCAAAAAGGAATTTATAAATGCATCGTCGTCTTTGGCAAAATCGCTAAAACAATCATTAAAGGACTTTTGCAATAGTCTGCATTTCTCAGTATATGGTTGCCATTATCTTCAACAAATTCACTATGTGTTTTTAAATGTGGAAATTGACTTAAATCCCTGTTTTTTAACTGGGATATGGAAGTTTTAATTAAATTTTGAATGCACTGATGTCATTTACTAAGCTAGGAAACAATTTGTTGTTGCCCTGCGGTTTCAAATTTAGATCATTGAAGTGGATGGTAACATAAACTAAAAATGGTAAATGAAATAGCCATTTCTAACCACATAACAGTGCTTTTTTTTCTCATGTAGCTCATCCTTCTCTCAGAAATTACACTGTCTTTCAGTTTCCAAAATCTACTGAGAACTTGTCCTGTACAAAGCCAATGTACATCGCAACAAAAGATGAGATCACCATATTCCATATCTAAAAATTCACAATATTCTCTGAATTCTCTTCTGTTTAATTGGTTTAAACTGGTATCATAACATTCTTGAAATTTAGAGTTTTTCCATCAAAGACGCTCAACATATAGTACAGTGATACTTTAGTACAGTATGGCCTAAAACCTTTCATAGTCTCAGAAACTCTACCTACAATTGATAGTGCTCCATCGGTGCAAACACTGATGAGTGTACTAAAATCCAGTTGTCGATTTTCTAGATATGCTTTTACTTTGTCAAATATGTCTGACCCACTGGTTTTTTTTATGAAGTGAGTGAAGACTGATAAGTTCTTCAAAGATGTTAAAATTACTATCAATTTCTCTTATAAAAATGTTTAATTTGGCTACATGACACATGTCAGCGGGTAAGTCCAAGGCTAAAGAAAAGAAAGAACAAGCATGAATGCGATTTTTCAATTGCTCAGTAACATCATAGGAAAGTTCTTTGATGCATCTTGTAACTTTTCTTTCAACATCTAACTACTACTAATTCAGTTGGATATTTTCTACAGTGTCTGTTAAGAATGTCTTCTATTATCTGAGAGAGTACTTTCACAAACAATGCACAATGATTTTCCTGAAGGACCCACACAATAAATAAGAATTCATTTTCCTACAGTTCATTAAACTGGTACTTGATATCACCTTCTGTTTTTCTTCTCGTGTTCATTGGTTGTTTGTTGCATCTCTCATTGATGATATCAGAAAGGTAGAAAACTAACAANTACTTTTTCATAGGAGAAAATTATAAATTTCTCTTGCTGAATACGCACACTTCAATAATCTATCTTTCTGACTTTCCTAGTGTAGTTTTTGCCATTTCATTTATTATTCTTTTCTTGAGTAAATCTTAGGTGATAAATGAGTGTGTTTGTTAATTTCTGGTCTGAAGGTATTACTTTGCCTTTCTCCATCCATATATTACGTCTTGACATGTTTCATTTTCAGATAAATTGCTTCTACTTGCAGCTTTTAGAATGCCTGTTATTCCATGTTCTTCGTATAGTTTTTTTTTTGGAAGAAAAAATAAGTTGCGAATGATTAGATTAAGAAGAGAATGTTATCTGTTTCTTTTGTAATTAATTGTGTGGTTTATTCAGTTTGTTTGTTTGTTTGTTTTAGTTATGGCAATGCAACACTTGGGCAATCTGCCTGGGGGGATGCCTTTCGGGAGGTCTTTTTAAGGTAAACTGGACCCTATTTAGGTGTTACAGATGTGGAGAAAACCCCGAAAACTTCGTGGCCAGCCCGTCTGAGTAAGGCGCAAACCCACGATCGAACTCCGTGTTCGGGGTACGAAGACCGCTTGGCCACTGGTGGGCGGTTTATTCAGAATTAAGAAAATATTAGAAAGTAGTTGGAAACACGTATATGAAGTAAATGATTTTATTTCAAAATTCATTACTGACTGAATTTATTTTAATATTTCAAAGATGACAGAATTGTGTTCAGAGGAGAAAGATAAAGATTCTCTAATTATGATTTTACTTCAGGTAATATTGTAAATTTATGATTATGGATGGAACTGAATATTTTTTTTATTAAATTTTTTTAAAATGAATATAAAATAATCAAAGAATATTTCTGAAATGAAGATTTATTTTTATTTTTAACAGTAAATGTATACTAGGAAAATTTAGTACAAAAGGCTTGACTCTTGCATATTGATAAATTTAAAGTATTATCCCAAACTGGACATATCAGAGTGATTGGAATATTGTGTGTTGGTATGGAAAGGCATTATCTAGTAGACATAAAACATCTTTTCTGAAATAAAATAGTGTGATCTGCATTAGTGGATTTTTATTTTTATATATGTCTCACTTTAATTGCAATAATGTTTGGTGATTTCCTTTTGACCTTATGTTACAATATGAACGTAAGAGTACTAAATTTTGGTTCTGTGGAGGACTTATCTCACACCATTGACAGAGGGACCTGTCAATGGCAAGAGATAACCTGTCTGAAATACATACTATCTTCATAATAAACCTGTCTCTACCCACTTGTATGATTACTCGGACAACGTCAATTATGTGCGATAAGTCCTCCATAGAACTAAAACTTAATGCTCATAGATTCATATTGCAATAATATTGTTGTTTATCAACCAGTCCTTGCCTTTATACTGCCCCCAGAGGTCATTACTTTATTATTATGAAGTTATCTTAAATACTTTGTTCATTACTAACTTGAATTATTGCTGAAATTTGTAATTCAATTAGTGTGCACTAATTCTTACAATAAAATAAACTGTTATATTTTTAAAAAATATAGTAAACTCATAGTTTTAGATGATAATGAATAGATATTGGCTAATATTTCTACAGTGATATTTAAACTGTCAGTATTATCCAAATTCAAATGGAGAATAAGAAAGATTTTATTACATGTCAGTGAGTCTTAAAAGATGCAAATTTATGTATAGTTTCAACACTACTATCAAGTAATTGTGAGTACTTGGTTTTCCAATATCTTCGGTTTCCAATATCCATGAAAGGAAACCAATTTCATTACTTTATTCAATTTGTTGGCTGGTAATTTTTGATAATTGTAGATACAATCATAAAATTTTATATTTCATTTGTTCTACTTTTAACTGCATAATTAGTATTTATTTTTTTGCACAATTTTTTTTAATACTTATCATATTGCATCAAAAAATCAAGCTTGTAACAACAAATGATTGGATATGTTTGCAAACTTACTGAAAAATACAATAGAAATAGGAAAAATCAGTCTGAATCTATAATATAACAACAATAATAATAATAATCTTTATTGTGAGAACCTTAGTTCGTTACAAGGGGTTAAACTACAGGATGTTCGGAAAGTCACTGTTCACTTATATATTAACAGATATGTTTCAATATAGGATACAGGAGATAAATATGAATGACAGTTATAAACAATGTTGAAAGTGTCCCCCCCCCCATTAGCATCAATGCAGGCTTGGATCCTCCTCATTTTGTTTCTAAACATTGCTATCAGTTGCTCGCTTGAAAGACTAAATGAATACTGTTATCGTCGCTTTCAGGTCATCTAGGGTGTGTGGATAGTCTCAATACACTGCTGATTTTGCTGCTCCCATAGATAGAAGTCTGGATTTAGATCTGGTGAGCATGGTGGCCACACATCTTTCGAAATAATGCAAAAACATGATTATAAAGTTGCACAATGACTTTCCGAATACCCTGTATAATTAGGATGCAATTTGAGAAAAATTGTAGACAAATTTCCAATGTTCTAGACATATAAATTCTGTTTGTCCGTCTTTCCTTAAACTCAAGAATGGAGTTAGATGAAAGACGAGACCAGATATAGAAACCTTAAGGGCAGGAGGCCCTGATTAACTGTATACAAACTTCCAATGCAAACTGAAAATCATGTTATTTCAATTCAAAAATTTTCCCATAAAAGGTGTTAGATAGATGACCAGCACAACTCTATTGTTAAAGGAAAAGTATGGGTCAACCACTACTAATTCGAGGCGGAGATCATATACAGTATTTTAAATTAAATAAATTAAAAATATGATCAAAAATTGCAGTTCAGCATTGTGACAATATCATAATAATTGCTCGTTTTAAAGTACGTTAGTAATATTTAACAAATTAATATAATAACTTAGTATAAGATAACACACAATAAAATACATAGTAATAATCAATTTTTGAAAAATACAATGAATTATCTTTGAGATTTAAATCTTATCAAATACTTATTTACTTCAAGTCTCACACAATAGAAAAATACACGTTTCCAAGTTTCATACACTTGCATGTTACAATCACTACAAAGTCTATCAGGATCTACTATTAGTCTATTAGGTTAAATTTCAGATGTGTATACTGTCATGGCGGCAGTTCCGACTGTTCATACTCCGGACTGACTCCTCCTGGAGGGAGGCCACCATGTGCCAAACATCACTAGTTATTGATTCACAGTAGTTCTTGAACACACTAGTATCAATAACTAGTATGTATCAATCCGACGGGAGTACGAACAGTCGGGACTGCGCCATGACAGTATACACATCTGAAATTTAACCGTCTATTATTATTATATGTCAAAATATAATTTTGAGAATCTATAATATTCAATATCAAAAAAACTATTCAGTATTTTTCAATAATCCAAATTTTATTTGCATGGTTTTTAATTATGTTGAAATTTTAATAAAACCTTTACTTTCATTCAAATAAAATTATTTTATTATTGATTTGTTTACATAATTATAAAATATATATTTTTTTCTTTTTTAGAAATCATTGGCGAGGTTCAGTTGAAAAAATATGGCAAGTTTATGGAAGAATACGGAACTCAATTAAAAGAAATTGAACATGCTTTAGATGAAACTCTCAGTGATATTTGGGACATGACGCTTGATCCCATTTCTCTTCAGGTTTGTAAATATGCAAATTTTTGTACGTAAAAACAGTCAATAAAAACTTAAAAATTTTTCATTGGTAACATAAGTATGATTCACATTGCCAAGTTTATTATCTGTTTATATTATTGCATTAAATAAACTCATACATATACTATACATCATTCATAATTACACTGTTTTGTTCTATGGAAAGTAAAAACATTAATATTAAAGCTAAAAAGTAGCAGAATAAATGATGCAGGTAGGATTTAAAGTTAAGACTGAATCAAAATGTGTCGATAAACTTACAAATTCAAATAAAGAAAATTATACTAATTATATAGTCAAAAATGACATTTTTCATTATTTCAACAAAGGTTTGTATGTTACAAATCAAAAAGATATATAAAAAATAGCTATATAATTATATTCAGAGAGTGACTATTAATATGTATAGAAGATTCTTATAAAATTATGAATCAAATTTTATATATAAACAACTTTTTTGCTGAATTATTATAACTTTTGAATCTCTGATTATGATTGTCAAATATTGTCTCTCTCTCTCTATATATATTTTCAATTTTAATGTATTTAATCTACTTTTGCAGGAAAAATTAATAAACATGAATGATAATGGTAAAACTTTGTTCTTTACATAACTAATCATCTACTGATTTGAACATCAATTGCATTCTAGAACAACAGTTTTCAGATTGAACAAATTAAATATGAATTATTATATAAAAATTTTTGTAAATTCTATATATATAAAACTTTTAAAATTTATCCATAGGTTTAAATTTAACAAATTGATTTTTTTTAACTTAATTTAACAGAACATTAACAAGCAATGACTGACAATTGATTCACTGTACATTTTAAAACACAGTAGAACCTTGAAAACTCGGCCTAATGTGGACCGAAGGGTGGCAGAGTTTGTGAAAATGCTGGGTTATCGGGAATGGGGTTAAAAAAAAATAAGTATGAGTGT